GTTATATATATATTTAGAAAATATACAGGCAGATTTAAGATCAAGTTTGTGATTATCAATAAGGTCTGTTTTTTTCTCTGTGATGACACAAAATAATTTCATTTTATAACAATTGAACTAAGGGCAGAGTTTCTGCTCTGGGATTTTAAATCCAAACATTGTGCCATAATGAAAGATTTGCACAAGGACACATGTGCACAGGAATATCTGCAACAGTAAAATGATAGAAGGGTCTTTAATTCAGAGATGCACTGACTGCATTGAACAGGAAACCATGACAACAGACCTCTTGGAAATATTTTGTTTTGCTACACCAGCGCAATAACTCTTCAAATTTTACCATGGAGAGGGCTGCATGAAGATTTATTTAAAATTCAGACAGTTTGTGTTTATGGCACTTCAAGAAAAACGGGGTGAAAGAGCTTGAATCCTGCATCATATCATCTAGAAGTAAACTATATATTAGACACTGTGGACGCTGCATTTCTTAGATGGTGCACTTATAAATCTCAGGAAAGAAAAATGTTTTGTTTGCTTCCACTTTATTTTACATGTCCCATATTGTCCTGCAATATTGAGCAGCATTAGCCGAAATGCAAATTCTTGTCATACTTGAAAAAGTGCCTCCAGAGCCACAGACAACATTATACAACTGTTGTCACAAGCTATGCAAAACACGCAAATTGACTTTGACTTTCAAAATTGTTGGAACACATCTTGACAAATTCAGGCATAATTAAATAAAAAATCCCTATATAGAAAAGATTTGGGGAATATACAAAGTTAAACAACTCAAATGCTTTTCCGGTTTTCTCTTGTTCCATGTGATATTTGTTGTGTTGAGCAGAATTGAGAGGCGAACTGACGCTGTGCTGCCTCCATGTGTTAAACCTGCGCTGCACTGTACAAACACGTTAAAACTAACTGTAACAAATGATTCACAAATACTGTCCGACACGGGTCAGGTTTGCTCTGAACGACCCGAGAAAAATGCGCTTTGGTTCAAAACACGCTCTCATTAAACAGCGGCAGTGCAGGTGTTTTTTCTCTTTCATTGGTTTGTTTTCTTTTTATCCAGGCAAGTCTGAATGTCATCCTGCATCATTACCGACAGCCAGAGATTATAAAGGATGAAGGAGAGAGGAGAGAGAGGACGTGGAGACAGACGGAGAGAGGATGATGGAGAGTGAGAAACAGAAAGAGAGAGAGTGGAAATGGGGAAGATGGAACGAGGGTGATGATGATGGAGAGTCAGAGAAGAGGTGGGGGAGATAGAAAGATGAAGATGGACTAACATGGCACTGCTGGCAGTCGAGCTGGACAGCGCGGTGCTCGAGATCACGCCACACTTGGAGCATTTCAGGAGCAGTCGGCTCCGCGCCTCCGCCGGGACACTTCAGGACATGTGTGCGCACAAACACAAACACACACACACAGACACACACACGTAAACAGACATACACAAAACCATGTGGGGGGAGGAGAGGGAGGAGAGGGAGTGGAAACACAAGTTCCAGTTATGTCGACAGGTGAATGAGCAGGTGTTGCAAACACGAAACAAAGACGAAAGTAAAAAAAAAACACAAACAAAGAGAGGGAGTGGTGGAAGAAAGAAAAAAAAAACAGGGGGAGGGGGGAGAAAAGAAAGAAAGAAAGACAGGCAAATTAAAACCAGATCATAAAAATGTAGCAGTAATGGAAATAAAAACAATCAGAATACAAAGATTGATTCAGAGCAAGCATAGAGAGAACGTGAGAGACGGACATCGCAATGTTACAGCAGAGTCATGAGGACTAACAGATTACAGTGAGACAGACAGGAAGTACGTCGAGCATCTTAGTCCACTGCACTGTGTGTGTGTGTGAGTGTGTGTGTGTGTGTCTTATTTATCTGTGTGACTGTGCACGATGAAGCTTTAATGAAAACGACTCCTTTGGTTGTTTACTTACAGTTGACTACTCAGAAGGACAGAAACAGCTTGTGTATTTGTGTGTGTGTGTGTGTGTGTGTGTGTGTGTGAGAGTGTGTGTTGCGAGTGAAGAATGATGGGGCCGTGCACGGGCTATGCTACATTAGCGTGCCATCACAGCTCATTGCCTTAGTGCCAGCCACATCCCCACGGCTTCATAAGGAAATACATTACGCTAATGACAGCCTGTCCTGTTAGCAACACTACCAACTATTGTGTGTGTGTGTGTGCGTGTGTGTGTGTGTGTGTGCTTGATTTCAATGCATTCACTTCTGGAAACCTGAGAGGAAATGTGCTTAAAACTCGGATAACACCGAGGACTTTTCCCGTAACAAAGGAGGGTACACTTGTTTGTGTGTGTAAATATGTTTGTACACATTAGCTGGTTTAATCTTGGTTGCATCAGCGGGCAACAAAAGCCAATCAACCCCCCAGAGAGCCAATCTGCACCGTTAACCCTTGCAGCAACGCACAAATGATCAATTTCAATTTGTGCGAGGAGACAGACACGGTGCGTGAAGGAGAGGAGAGGAGAGGAGAGGAGAGGAGAATAGAGGAGAGGAGAGGAGAGGAGACAGGGAAAACAATGGGATCAATAGGTATGGAAATGAAAACATGGATTTGGCTGCGAGAGCTCCCGAGGTCTCTACTCGTCGGATTAGTGAAAGATGATGAACAGCCGCCGACTGCATTGAAGTAATGCTGCAGGTGGATGCACATGCATGCGTGTGCTACATGCGCAGTATGCATACAGCACGGGTATCGTGTGTGCATGTTTGTGGAGGAGAATCTCATAGGATTTCGATACGGTTTCATCCACATTATCCCAGTGTTTACAGTTCATAATTAAGTTTCCATGTGCCATTGATCTTCATATCCACAGCGTTCACCTGTGTCACGCACAATAGATGGAAACACTGTATTTATAGGAGCAATCGTGATGGATGATAGAAATCACAGAGCAACAAAACGCAGCAGATGTTATTTTGTTGCCAAATTGAGTTGTGTATTTTTTTTTTTTATATGCAAAGCACAGGTGTACAACATGCTCGGGAGGAAAGGTGTACAACATCCTCGGGAGGGAATGCTCTCATGCTTTCAGACCCTTGAAAGTATTCCCCCCCGAGTTTGTGTCTGACAAAGAGTAAGAATTGATCTAACTCAGCGAGTTTGCCATCATGTCCCACCAAGAATCATGTAGATGGATGAGGAAGTCGCATGTGTGTATTTGTGTGTGTGCAGAGGGTTTTAGGGAAATTAACTCACCCCGCTCGCTGCTTTTTAGACTTGTCAGAGATGCCGTCTCGAGACATGAGCTTGTTAAACACCACGATTCCGATGAGCATATTCACCTGAGAGAGAGAGAGAGCGAGAGAGAGAGAGGGGAGTCTGATCAGAATTGCTGTAACAGACGTGCCTGCCGTCAGGGATTCGGCTCATGCACGGCAGCTTTGCTTTATTTCTTCTCTCAATGTTTCCGCTGATTGAAGATGACTCATTAATTGTCTCACATACATACGGACTGAAAGTGACGGTGCTCCTGCTGTCAGGGCTCCCAGGCTGACTTGTATTCAGCTCATCTCAATGAGGTTTTTAAACAGAGAGCATTCAGTACAGACATCCCCAAGTCCACAGTTATTACCCACAGTAAATCTATAATGTTTGCCTTAATGAAAAACTATCGGCTCAAACATCTAAAGAGGAAGTGGAGCAAATTCCCTAAACACTGTATACGACAGCATCTTACTCTTGTACCCTGATTTTTAACATTAGCTTTAAATTGTGCTTTGCTTTAAAGGTACAGTATGTAGAATTTAGTGATATCTAGTGGTGAAGTTTTATGTTGCAAGTGTGAGTCGACCTTTTTATGTGAAAAGATATGATCTCTTTTTACTTCCTCTTCAAACCACAAACAGCCCCTCTGCCACACTCGCACAACCCACCAAACTCCATTCAGAACAGAAGTAATTTTAACATTGCAAAACACACTTCATTCAAAGTCTAACGTAATGAATTCAGTGTTTACTTTAAACCAAACCAGAACTGAAACATTTGAAATGTGTCGGGGAAAAAAAATATCCTCACTCCCATCATCATTCATCTTCCCAAATTATTTGTGCCTTCTCCCTGACATCCATCCATAACTGTGATATGACAGTGTATGACATTTCTGGAACAGGCCCATTAGATTGTATTAGTTGTCGTGACCTTTCAGTAAGTGCTGCAGTTCAAAGAAAACATTGTGCAGTTATTGAGATCAATGAAAGCAATTTTTTTTCCATTTGTGGGGAACACCTTAAAAATATCTAAAAAAATATCTAAAACACTGATCGCTTCTCATCCGGGCTCCTAATGAGAAACCCATCGCTAAGCCGGCCAAACATCTGGCCGTAGTGAACCAGTGATACAGATTCTATTAGGCACACACACGCACATGATCTGACACAAGTCTTGCCGACCTCTTCTACTCTCAAATCCGCTCCATCTGGGAGATTTCCGATGCTGGCGACATGCTCATAATAATCCATGATTTGCGACATTCCCTACTAGTCTTTCCTACATCGTGTAAGTGTTCCTCTGCAGACTTTCTGCTTAATCACTCATGTGTTTGTGTAGTTATGCTTTTCAGTGCATTCTGGTAAAACCCTGCTGTAAAATGTGCATGCAAGGCATTCCTTTCCTTATCTAGGTCCTAAACTGAATGTCTGCTTGGATTCCTTCCTTCATCTGTCACCAACAGCAGCCTCCAGCCAGGGCAGGAAAATCTCTCTTTGTAGATATTACACACACTTGCAAGAAATCCTAAGGAAAGAGCTGAGTGGTTGAGAAGTTCAGGTCTGACTTTCATGTGGTCAGTTGAAATTCCAGTTTTTGCAGCTTTTGCAGAAGCCGGATTTACACTCGGAGCCTATTCCTTTGCTGCATCTAATGGTTTGGTACATCTGGCAGCTTCTACACTTTGCTGGAAACACTCCCTATGATCTCATTCCCTCTCGTGTGCTGCTGCAGACAACTACCTACGATGTGCCAGATAGCGCTATTGTCATGCCTGTCATGTCTGGCCACGGCTCTGTGAGTCAGCATCGTCCTGCTCTGCTATTTGCCCAGGGCCAGGTTCATTAATTAGAGAAGGGTCCTGTGGGAAGGTCTGTGTTTCTCTGCCCGACGGCCTGCTCTCATTACAGCTGTTTGTTAGAGTGGGGCCCCAGCAACAACACCGGGGGGGTTGGGACCATCACGTAACAGCTGGGGTGTGGAGTGTACAGTGCATCAACATTGTGGAGGCAAGAATGAAGGAAAGTTGGAAACAAACCAACAAACACCAGACACTGATAAACAACTTAAAAGAATAAATGTCCTTTGGTTTTTCTTGGCGGCTGCAAGCTTTGACTTTTCAAACATAAAAGTTTTTAAAACCAAAACTCTATTTCTTCCTAATTTTACAATTGCAAAATTTAAACATCCCAACCATGTGGGTGATTTAAATCTCAATAACAATTAATATCTTCACTCAAAGGAAAATACACTGACTCTTGGTTGCTATATGCAGTATTGTCTGACTGTGTGGCCGTTAAAGGTTCCGTGTAGAATTTAGTGGTGAATTTGCATGTTCCACCTGAAACATTTCATGTTGTTGCTCGCTTATTGGTGAGCAAAAGATAATTTTCCTCTTTGATGGAAAAAAAATCCATTCTATTATATTCTATTGTGCCATTTTCCTGTGTGTGACCATGTCCTATTGGCAAAGTATGGGCCGGCATGTGGTAACTGTATTTACACAAAATGATCTCAACAGTCTTTCCTGCCTAAGTATTAAGACGAAGCAGTAACGCTGCAACTTATATTGCCTCACTTAGTTTGAAGCTCTTAATCCCCTCGGTCACTATGTGTGAAGATGGAGAGTTGAGGTGTAATGTGGTGCAACTAAAATAGTCTCCACAGAAACAATGAAAATCAGGTGACAACCAACTCATGTTGGATTTGATCAAATCATTATTGCAGGTTCAAGTTCAACGTGTGCGACGAGGGTATCAGCACATATAACAAATTAGCTTCATTGACAGGGTGTGTTGAGGGGAACAAGTTGTCAGGCATACCGTGGCAGGTAGATCCACATATTCTAGTCCACTATCAGCACTGATGGAATACAGCTATTAACAACAGGATTATATCATGTTACATTTGAACCTATTTAAGGGCCCTAATTTTGCACAACTGTCAGTGGTCTGTTCAAATACCCTGGTCCGCATCACAGTTACACACATCTCTAGACTTAATTACATCACCTTAATGTTTCATATGTATTCAATTTACAACACCCAGGCCACTTCATTCTGTTCTCTTTTGTTGCCATCGTATTAATCTTAAGCTTTCTGCTAATCACATGTTCTGCAGCTCTGCTTACCTATGGGTAAAAGCCACAGCACACCACTGGTAGAAGCAATTACCCAAAAAATCCAGACTTATTAAACTTAGTGGTGAAAATATTCACCTTGGGATTCATTAAAATGAAATTAACTAATCCTAGAAGCAGCCACAACAACAGCTGGATAATACACCACTGAGATGCAATTAATGCCCTCAGCAGGACAATATAGAGCTATATTTACTTGTTGATAAATATATGTTTTAAAGCAATTTAAAAAGGCAAACACAGAAAATAATATCTTAACTGTGGTGCAGACTGTTAGTCACATATTTTTGTCTGAAAATACGTTAAAAAAAAATCAGCCTCAAATATACTTGGTACAGTGACTCATACTTGAAAAGTACATATGAGTGAGAGCTGTAGCTGCTGGGCTACAACTCAGTCCAGACATGTGTTGCAGCTCCTGTCTGCTGGAATATATTTTGCTTTTTGAGCTGACATTTTCAACTCAAGGATCAAAGTTCTCAACTCATCATTTTGTCGTGTACACCGCGGGTGTGTGTGCTCACATGTGCACGTGGGAGTTAAGGGAAAGGAGAAATCTCAGAGGTCAACAGGGAGCCGCTTTGAAGCTCTTCGCTCGGAGGCTAACTTAGCAAAAAACATTTGGAGGGCTACACAATGCAACGGGTGAGGCAGGGAGGCTGGCTCTGCTGAAAAGTGAGGGAGTCTCGTGATGGGAGAGAGAGCGAGATCGGGCAGACTCACCAAAACGATGACGGCAGCAGGTCCAACGAAGGCATAAAGCAGACCCCCCTCCAAGGATAACCAGCAGCTGGAGGAGAAGAAGTGCAGAGAAGAATTTTATGCACAAAAAAGTATAAACAGAAATACTGGTGTGAAATATCACTTCACCACATTCAGGTCAAGCATTGTACTTTCTGTGAGTTCTGAAAGCCACACTATATAAATAGTTTGTAAAATATCTGTATTTTCATAGCACTTTTCTAGTGTTGACATCCACTCAAAGTGTTTTATCGTAGTTTTAGCGTACACCCATCCACACATTGCATCTATATGCAGCACTATCCCACATTACTAACAGCAGCCGACAGCGGCAATTTAAAGTTCAGTGTCTTGCCCAGGGTCACTTGGGCATTAAACCTATGACCTTCTGGTTAGTGGACAACCCACTCTAGCTCCTGAGCGACAGCTGGCCATAGAAACTTTTAAAGTATCGTAATGGTAAACTTGTATGTAACTTTCACAGGGCAACAGCGCTCTCTGCAGCCAAATGTCAGAGCGATTAAGTGGTTTACTTGAAGAGAAAAAACTAAGTCTATCTGTTGATTGAAGCATTTACCTCATATAGTATGTTCAACACAACTTAACGGTGGATAATTCCCATGATCCCTGGCTTCCTGTATCAGAAAAGCCCCTGCTGTAACAAATCAATCAAACTCTGTTTAGAAAATGTTTCCGATTCCAAATGTTTCCTTGATGAATTTTGGAGAATTTACTGACTTCCAAAACTTTTTGACTTATCTACTGCTGGGTCAGATTCTGGCAATTTACTCACAGGAAACTGTACCCGCTTAAGTTACATGGAGCATGGAAAGGCATTCAAGGCGAGGGAATGAAAGTGGCATCATTCTCAGTGTCTCATTGAACTCATTTTGAAGCTGTTAGTTTAAGATGTGAAAAAGTTGCAACGTGTTGCTTTAACCACAGCAACCAATTAAATAACCCATTTACTGGAGTGGCCTCAGTGAGCGATGCAGCAGTCATTTCTATGGGTAGGTAAGTGCCTGTTTCTGTAAATATTGCCCTCAGAGCTGAGCAACATTATTATGTTCACCACCTAAAACACATCCTCACACTGCTCATGGTCTTCGGTGTGAAAGCTACTGAGAATTAACGAGTTTAAATGTGTCCTCTGGTGATGTCATCAGAGCAAACTGAAACCCCACTGTTTCTCTTAATTGCTGCTCAATAAAGAGGAAGCACAGGAGGAAAAACACACAGCCCAAAAGCCTCTTACAGTCCACATACTAATGAGATGTTCAGTAAAGAGGAGAGAACACATTTGTAATCATCTTTTACATGTTTTTATTCAGTCTGATACCCTCTTGGCCAGGAGGGTTTTTTTCAGAATGTATATAGCAGAAAAAAATCCCACCTCTATGAGACTAATTTTAATCTTATAGCCATGATATATTAAAAATATTTTCGCACTTTCACACTTTCAAAATTCAAGGAACGACAACAGGTGGAATTGGGTTTGATACATGAGCTGCTGAGTTGCCGTTATCATCATCACACATTTTGATTATTAACTTGTTTTTGCAGGTGATTCTGGGCTGATGATGAAGCAGATTTAGCTGGAGAGCTTTTGACCATTGAACTCTTATAAATGAGACCTCAGGATGTTTTCTCCTACTTTAAAGTCCCTGAGGTGTAAAATCTTTTTCAAGTTTTCCTCCCTTACTTTAAATTGCTTTGCAGTCGTTTAATGTGTCTCAAGTATAACATTTGTCATATTAAAGGCATAATGTGAGTTGTAATCCCCTCATGTCCATTAAATTAGGACACTCTAGTACGTGTTTGCATTTGGTTAAGTTCATGCTGGGAGATTCTTTAGTTCATCTGTGATAGAATAAGTGTGTATAGAAATTGGATGGATAGATGGATGGATAGAAAAGATAATGTATCATCCTGGCTTAACAGATTCAGTCATTTATGGCAAAGCTGACTGACTGAATGACCGTCTCCTTTGCATTAGCTTGAAACTTTTGGGACGCCAACATCTCAAACAGGACAGGGAAAACTGGAGAGCACTCTAAGCTCATCCAGCCTCCAGCTCATCCAAACACAACTCAGAGGTAAAAACCTGCTGTGGTACTCACTAGCTGGCTGTGCCGTAACCTCTTGCTCTGGTGAAACCCACCGACACTGCTACAACTAGGGCTGGAAGACCTGCAGAGGAGGAGCAGAGAGAGAAACATCAAAAAGGGGAGACAAAGAATAACAGCGAGACTGAAGAGTGGCGATGAAGCATGTTGGCCAAATAACTCTCCGGTGTGAACAACTCCATATGGTTCTTTCAATTCAAATGCTAAACAGCCGTGCAATAGCATGCAAGACATGCCTATGTGAGTGGAACTGATGGAGAGCTCTGCAGGTGATCCTGTGGGCTCTGCATGTGATCCCTGACATGAAGGCTACAGGCATGAAAAATGGGCTCTGATTCAAGTTCATCATGAGGACAGTCTTGTGTACACTGACACTGCCCTGTGTGACCCACGGGGTGTGTGCAGAGTATGTGAGCAAGTGAGGCTGGGGGAGGTTATAAAAATGTGAGATATTGCTCAGAGTGGTCAATAAGTCATACATTAATTAGCTAAATCAAGCAAACTGTGTGTGTGTGTGTGTGTGTGTGTGTGTGTGTGTGTGTGAAAATGAGAGTGAAAGAGAGTGAGTGTCACAGAGTGCGTGCCAGAAAAAGAAGGAAATATGTTGGGCCTGTAATGAGCTTGGCTCTGAAATATTCATGTAATTAACAAAGCTGTGATTATGGCTGCAAATGAAAAGCAATTAGAGAAAAGTCACATTAACATTAACAAATAAGATGGTGAGGAGCCAGGCCGGTCCCCTAACTAGCATGTGCAAAGTTTCAATTAGACAAACAAAAACATCGATCAATCGCATTTACCGACATGCAACACAGTAAACACACATCAACACGTCAGGCATCACTCGAATCTTACAAAGATCCAATCACACCCTGAATTGCCTGTTTCCATGGCAACTGATTCCAATCACATCATTTGGGAAGAAAATTGCAAAATGGACGCGAGGAGGATAAGCCGCTTGATCCTCATCACTGTTTTCATGCATTTCACCAACATTTGTAAGTCTATCGTTCAAATCTTACAGCTGCCACACACACACACAAACACAGGCCCTAAAACACATACACACACACTGTGTCAGTATCTCTCTATCTCTGAATGTACAACATCTATACATTCTCCCTGCTCTGTATCAGGTGAGGGCATCAGCAACTTGGCAGATTAGACTGGTGGGATCAATATCAAGTGAAATGAACAGGTGAAATGATGGTGTGTGTGTGTGTGTGTTTCTAGGGCTATCTCAAAACATCTTGCCAGTGTTGTGCAGATCTTATCATAGGTTTTGATTATCCCCCAACATCCATTTTGCCGGTTGCCTCAAATTGTATAACAGTGAAAGGGCAGTGTAATTGAGTGACCTGGAGGCTGAGTGGCACAGAGGTGTGGGTTGAGATTACCTTCATACCCTGACTGTACAGTGTGACCATCTGTGAGTGTGCACGGAACAATTATTGCTGAGCTTTGGCTGTATTTGATTAAAAAACATTAAGTGTCTTTAATTCTAAATTAAAATAATTCCTTTAATTAGCGATTATCACATAGCAAAGAAAAAATGGGACATAGACGAGAACAGAGCAAATGAATGTTGTTAGGCATAATGCAACAATTTAAAAACACTGCAACATAATAAATCTGTTACATTTTCATGTAAAATATGCCGGTCTTTCTGCTCCCTCTGATCAATTTCTGTCGCACAACAGTGCACCCAATTCATGAAGGCGTCTTCATTTGCTATGCTGACAATCCTCTGGCACACACGGGGCAGAGGCAGACAGTTTACATTTCAAACAGCAGCAGACACCAAAACACAAATGAACAGATGAATTTCACTCTGCCACTTCCTGACGTCAAAGCTAAACACTGAATTCAAACCGAGCTCAACACGACCATTGTTTGGTGGAAGTGTGATGAAGTGCCTTGCGTGCGGATGCTCACCCCAGCCGAGGCACAGGAAACGCTTGCGAATGAGCCGCGACCTCATTTTGCCAATGACGGCCAGGTAGGACTGCCACGCTTCTGTCAGCACCCAGCAGAAGGACGCCAAGAAGAAGAAATGCAGGAAAGCGGCAGTCACAGTACAGAGGCCCTGGAGAGAAAAGAGAGAGAATTGTTCAAATTTCGTTTTTGTAAGAGGTGTCATAATGGTTCATCCAATCAGCAGAGGAAAATGAAAACAAAAAATAACAAGGGAAGATGGGAAATCAGAAGTCTGCTGAAGAATGTATTGTAGAAGAATAGGAGTTGGACCTGGCTCTACATGTGTTCCTGATTTTTATCAATAATAACCACCATGCACCGCTAAGTCAGACAACTCTGAGTGCTTTGTGCCAGAAATGTCAGCCTCCACTTTGAGAGCTGAGTCTGCTGATGAACCCTGAGCTTTTTCTTTGAGGCTTTTGATTCCAGGCTTTATTAAAGACGTACTCTCTGGCAGCATCCCACGGAATCATAAGTGTGTTGACCATGTTTTACTGGCAAAATGCAGTTTCAGAGCGAGCATCAGCGCCTCACCTTGCTAAGCGTTTGAGATTGTCCCACCAAAATCAACAAATTGGAGGCCAGGATGGAGAGGCAGAAATTCACCAGGATGATCGATCTCTCCGAACGGATGTACCTACCGAGAGAGAGAGAGAGAGAGAGAGGGAGAGAGAGGGAGAGGGAGTGAGATAAGTATTAATGTCAGATTGATGGACTGAACAGCAGCTCTTTTGGGCGTTGGAGTTATTAGCTTGATTTTGCCATCTGTCATGCGTGTTCCAAAAAAACGAATCGCCACCCCCTGCTGCAATCGAACCATTTGTTCCTTGGGCCTCACAGCGGTTTTTGGCACATCAGATGACACACATGAAGTGCTATGAATATAGACACGTGCATGCCAACCATCATGTATGTGTGTGCCTGTGTGCACATGTGTGGGTTTTTGTAGTCATACCTCCAGAAGGCAGCGTAGATTAGCAGCAGGATGAGCAGGGCCGTGCAGGACACTCCACAGCCCACCATCAGGGGCACGGAGGGAATGCTGGTAGGACCCATGTCCTGGATAGAGTGATGGGAAGGGAAGAGGAGGAACAGAGAGGGGAAACAGATAATAGTTTTTACATACAGTAGACTAAGGGATATACTACATGACAATTTACACAGGAAACCATAGGACGTGGGAGTTGAACATCTGGGACAGTAATTCTCCTCTTCTTCATGGCAAATAAACATGTCAGTCAAATCTAAGTCGGAATCATCATTCCTCTTGAGGAGACATATGGTGCTCACACTGAGGTTCATGATTTTAATTCGGGTTATTGCTTGAAAAGGTTTACATGAAGTCTGATGTGGAGAAAACTTGTCACTGTCATCAGACTGTCCGAAGTTTACTTTTTGTCTCTTTAAGACCCCCTCCTGCTCTGAATGGCCAGCAGGCTCACTCTGTTGGGATTGGTCAACCTCCTCCTGCAAATGCATGAATGTCTGCCTCTGCCCACGCTTTACCTGGCATTGTTGGGCACCGTGCCAGACAAGCCGATAGGCAGGTATTATACCAGTGTCGGCTGATGATGCAGAAGTTTTATTGACCGAGCGCCTCGGGAGCTTCAGGAGCAGTTTTTTTTTAAACTTTGCAGACCCTTTACATAAAAAAAAAACCCTAGCACACACTAATAAAGCAAAATATGTCTCTTTTATAGAGTTTGTTGTCTATATTTGTGCTCGATTGAGTATTATAGTTCTCAGTTTATTTTCACAAAAGCCATTCTGCTGATGGGTGCTGCAAATTAGCATATGCTATGAACACATGATACTTGCATTGGATCGCTGTTTGTTTTTGTAAACTGTCCCTGGCATATAAACCATATATAATACATAAACAATTAGGTGACCAAAAGATACAAAATCCTGTGATACTGTATATTTTCCATACAAAACAACAACAACAAAAACATAACGGGTTAGCTGTTATTTAGATAGACATATGTGTGGAGGAGAGTGATAAATCATTGGGAATAAATCCAAATCTGTGTCTTTTACAGATTGAAGTAGTTGTCGGCACATTTCCAGCTCTGCACTTACAGTATTTATTAACTGTTACACTCCCTTGGTTATAATCCCTTTGGTAGTCCCCTTTTAAATGATAGCATGCTAATTATATGCAATTAGCTTTAATTAGAAATACAACAGTCTGTCAGGTGAAGCCAAATAATATAACATAATTACACTATGAAAAGGTGTCATTTGGTAGAAGTAGTGCATAAATCCTGTTTTGGGAGCATTTAAGAATATTTATTTTTGGGATAAGTCAAACATGAAATCACAAATCTAACAAAAATAATCTTCAAAATAAACAATAAAAAGAAAATATATATATATATATATATATAATAATAATCATTCAAATGGACCTTTTGCAAGAGGTTCTTGAAATAATGAATGCAAAAGTGGATCTACTTACTTAATTCCTCCTAAAAGGTATAAAAGGGGGTCCATTGGTGAGGACCGATGGTCAGAATACAGAATTTTATCCCAAAAAGTTCCATGACCTGTGTTTGAAATCCCCTCTGTCCTGTCAAATGCCTTCTCTCCATCAGGGGAGAAGGTTGCTACTGCAGTGCTCTCATCCACATAAGACCGTGTGAGGTTTTCTGAGGATGACCTCCCCTTCACAAATCCTAGCTCGCCGCCATGAATACTATCTGGTAAAATATTCTCAAGCCTCTTTGCCAGGACTTTAGTATGCACTTAACAATCCACACGGACTAAACTGACAGGCTGAAAACTGCTTAGGCTCAGTGGATCCTTATCCTTTTCGGGAATCAATGATAGATTCATCAAATGTATTTGAGGGCTGCTCTCTTGAAATTGGCGCTGAATAAAATTTCGTTAAACTAGGTGCCAGCGTGTCAATATGTTTATTTATAGTGCTCAGATGGGAAGCCATCTAATCCTGGAGATTTTGCAAGTTTCATGAGTTCAGTGTCTGGTCTAACTTCTCATTCCTCAATGGCAGCATCCAACTCTTTCCAAAATACTTTAATGTGACTATTCCAGCATTACAGACCTCATTATTGTTACTATAGTTAACTGCTAATCACTGTGACTCTTACATGAAGACTTAAGAATCAAACCAGCTGCTAAGGCTGAGAATGCACGAACTACCTGTATGAAACATCCATCCATCCATTATCTACACCACTCAACCTTTAAAGGCTCACATATCTCTATGTTAGATTTTTATAAGGACAGAGACAGGGCCTTTTTAATGTACTCTGAGTTTATTCCATCTGTATTTGTGCACATCTTCTGAGGGCGTACGGATATGATGTTGCCTTGAGTGGGTACAAGGACTAACAATCACTTATGCCTTTTTCTTAAGAGGTACATTATCACAACCTCCTCCACCATCAACATAGATGGAAGTAAGAGGGCAGCAACAGTTACAGCATTTGAATCTAACGTATCTCTTTTCATCAGTTTCACAGGGTGCTGAATCCGATCTATGGCATATTCATAACATTTGTGCATGTAAAAAACCATACCCTTGCATACGATACCATTGCACAGAGCAGTCTCCTGATTGTCTTACCCCCTTCTCGGTGGCAGAATCATCAAGAAAATGTCTTGAAATGTCGGAGTTGGAGGAAAAAGAGGTACATTGATCCAGCCACTCCTATAATAACACGAGTAAATAGTGCATCAACATATACGATTTGCGTGTCGACAGCAGTGATATATATTTAATCCACAAAGTTTTCAAATGCTGCTGAAAAATGAATGGGAATATTAAGACCCATTGTATCACTTCAAAATATACAGGGGTTGACACAACTACAGTGCATAATTAAGAAATTTAGGTCATAATGTACAAAGCACCTGCACTTTTCTTGTCTCGAGAAGCACCTTTGAAAGGATGAAGAGCAGACAAATGAAGCTACATGGAGAGCATACACCCCACCGTGCCTAAAAGGAGCTTGATGTTTGGCCTGCTTTTAAATTCTCAATCACACAATTTACCTCAATTTACCTCCTAGGGTGGCTAGCGTTCACTTTCATGTCCAAGATTCACACACAAGAACACACACACATACTGCCAAGGTGTCTTTTGCTCCAAATAAAGCACATACTCACACACTAAGGCACGTCCAGGGAGATGTGCCAAGTAATCGAAAGTCAGTATTTAAGCCGCATGAATTGGGGCGTGTTTCTATTCAAGATGAGCTGACGCCAGAGGAAGAAAGCTAGAGAGAAGACTTCAGAAGAGAATACTGAATGCAAACTGAAAAGGAGAAAGAGAGCAAGTCAGACAAAGAGATGGAGTGGGAAGAGTTAAGCACGAGTAAGGGAGAGCGAATAGTAGGTGGGGGAAGAAGAAATAGATAGGGAGAAAGAAAAAAGAGTCAAAGCCTCCCTTTTAGTGGTTTTCCGTGGCCCATCAAAGGAAGTCAATTTCTCCAGAGGAAAGCCGAATAGGCTGGAATACCAATACGGGCGCACATGCGAACACACTGGGATGAAAATGGAGGTGAAACAATCAAAACCGCCTTGTAAGAAAGGAGAGACCCACAAAAAAAGAGAACAAGGGATATGACTAGCGTGTGCATCTAGGGGGAGGCCTTGGAGGAGAGTGAGAGACAAGATGCTCTGTTTGATATAATGGTGAGTGGAAGGTCAAAGGATATGCAAGCATTTGTGTTTTTTCTTGACAGATCAAACATGAAGGTTGCACAGGCAATGGCAAGAAGCCTATTGAATTTATTTTTCTCTCCGTCCCTTTTAGTTTGTCTTGAATTAGCCTCGGCCAGACAAGAAATGGAATCAATTAAACCCTTGTAATTTTACCTCAAAGTATACATCCTCAAATTGTCCCTCAGCTCTTCATTATGTCAATTTGTCAAACAGTAATTTCTTAATTGGTATAGTAAGATTATGAGTGTGTAATGAGACAGTGTCTAATTTCATAACGTGGAAGGATGCTACAATGGAGGTAATGAAAATACAAACACACACACAGCACATTGTTTCACACACACACACGCCCTGTCCTAAATAGATATAGTGATATAATGTTGCAGTCGTAGGAGTTGTGTGTCTGTGTTTTTCTCTATGCGTATTATGTGAGAAAAGAGAAAAACAGCAAGAGGGAGGGAGAGAGAGAGAGGGAGGGAGAGAGAGAGAGAGAGAGAGAGAGAGAGAGAGAGAGAGAGAGAGACACCAGATTAGAAAGAGTGTGCTGAGGCTCTGCTGTATAAGGCCAGGCTCCCCTGGGCAGCTTGGCTACCATGTGATGGAGAAGATAGCTATTTTCAGCTCAGGAAGTTTAACCTACTTATCTCCTCTCACTGACACTCCTCC